CTGCACTGGGCCCAAGGGTCCTCCTGACATTACATTTGGGTAAGTGTCTTTGGGGGATCTAGGGGTGGACTTACACCACCAGTAATGATCCCTTCCACATGCACAGGACTGTACAGTTACAAACTATTTCATATACATGACTTCGTGACAGTCTCAGATACCCAGGGATGTATGTAAAGGACATACTATCTTCACTTGAGAGATGGGAGACCTGAGGCTCAGAGCAGTGAGCTGACTTGCCTAAGGTCACACAGCTGACAGGTAGTGGAGCCTTGTGAAGTAACGGCCCTCCCAATCCTCCCAACTTGCACACTGACTCCTCAGAAAGGAAAGGGTTTATTCTTTGCTTTCTCAGCCTGAGGCACATCACTGCAGTGAGTTGGATACATCCCTGGGGAAAAAAATGCCTCCAGGGAAGAGATGAAGTTCAGGTTTACAGAGGAGCCAAGAGATAACCTGGGATCTGAACTTTAATGAAAAAAGAACTAGGAGTGGGAGGAAGAAAGGGGATTGCTCTCATATACTCCTGAATAAGTAGTTGGTTTTTTGGTTTTTGTGTTTTGTTTTTTTAAAACACTTCCTGGAAACTTCCTTGATGGAGGCCCTGCTACTGTTTTCAGAGTTTCTCAGCACTGTTGACACTGGGCTGCCTAAAACTGTCCTGGGGAGGGGCTATCCTCTGCATTGTACGACGTTTAGCATTGCTGGTCTCTAACCACTAGATGTCAGTAATAACACCTCATTCAAGTCCCCATGTTGTGACAATGAAAAAAAGCTCTCCGACCTTTTCAAATGTGTCTTAGGGGGCAAACCATCCTAGCTGAAAACTACTGCTTCAATCCACCCTCTTCAGAGCAGACAGGCAGATGTATGGAAGTCACCACCATCTCACTCTCCTGCTTCCTGCCCTGCTGGGGCCACCAATCTCTCTAGTCCCTTTTCCCTCTACCTTGTCCTTCGCAATCTTTGCTCTAGCTCTGCACAGCCTTCTGCAGATCGTTCCCACAGTCATGCTAGTTTGTGTCCCCACACTCATGCTGTTTTCTCTACGTGGTGTCCTCCTGTCAGTTACCTCATAAATCCTACCTTCAAGATTTGGCTTGGTGTGGGCATCACATGGAAACTTATCCTAACCCCTTTCCCTCCCCAGCAGGAATACTGAGTCAAGCTCCAGCTCTGTACTCCCGCAGCACCTTCTGCAAACCTGTCATAGCACCCATCACCCCATCCTGTAGTTGTCTTTCACTCTGTGAGCTCCTGAAGGGCAAGGCTGTGTCATATTCAAATCTCAGGCACTGTACCTGGCATGTGTTTGTTAAAGTAAACTACAAAGAACATTTGAAAGCACACTAGGTTGTGACAAAACACCAGGATTCTAGTCTCAGTTCTGTGAAGTGATCACTTCCCATCCTTGAACTTCTGTTTCCTCACCTGAGGCATCAGAATTTGGACTAAATGTCTAAGGATCTTTATAAGTTAGCATTAATGATAGTAAAATGTTCCCATTGTTTTTCATAAATGTTTCACTTAAAAATGTTTCCCGCCATGGCCGGTTTGGCTCAGCGGTTAGAGCGTCGGCCTGTGGTCCGGAGAGACCCGGGTTCGGTTCCCGCTAAGGGCATGTACTTTGGTTGCAGTTTGTCCCCGGCCCTGGTTGGTCGTGCGGGTGGCAGCCACTCGATGTGTTCCTTTCACGTCGATGTTTCTGTCTCTCTCTCCCTTCCTCTCTTTCCGTCCCACTCTATCTGTACAAAAAATGGAAAAATATCCTCGGGTGAGGATAAAAAAAAAAAAAATGTTTCCCAAAGGGCAGGTCCATCTTCTTCCTCCCCCCTTCTGAATGTGTATGTATAGCTAGCTTCCTCTAACCTTTTTCAAAGTCTTTTCCTATTGACTATTTCATTTGACCCTAGAAATAATTATAGCAGCCTGTTACATGCAATTTCAAACAGGAACATTCTTCATTATGGAAAACTAAAGAATGTGTGTATTTACACATGCATAAAGACATCTTTCCAGGTGGTGTGACAATTGGGCAGGTGCTGGGCAGGGGATTAGAACAAGCCTTGTCATTGAATACCTTATATTGTTAGATTTTTAAAATTATGTGAATATGGTGTCTATTTACAATTAAAGATAGTGAATACAGCCAATCCATATTTCACTCTTGTATTGATGTTTCTCTCTTTCTCTCCCCTTCCTTTCTCTCTAAAAATCAATAAAAAATATTTTTAAAAAATAAAAAGAAAAGCATCCTAACTGGAATTTTAAACACAATTTGATTCATCCAGAAAAGGAACTAAGAAAAAAGAACCTACACACAATGCTTTTATCTATTTTTTTAATCTTTATTGTTGAATGTAGAATGTATCACAAATATTCCACATTTTTCCCCCATTGACCCCCTCTTCACCACTCCCGCCCCCCTCCCACCTTTTCCCACACAATTGTCTGTGTCCATTGGTTATGCATATAAGTTCTTTGGTTTATTTCTTCCCACCCCCCAACCCCTTTCCCTTTGAGGTTTGTCAGTCTAACAATGAATTTGTACTTCTTAATCCCGTCACCTTTTTCACCCATTCCCCCAACCCCCCTCCCATCTGGCAACCAACAAAATGTTCTCTGCATCTATGAGAATGTTTCTGTTCTACCTGTTCATTTTGTTTGTAGATTCCATTGTTGACAGATATGTATTCATTGCCATTTTGTTTGTTCATATATTTTATCTTTTTTTTTTCAAAAAGACCCTTCATCATTTCATATAACGGTTTGGTGGTGATGAACTCCTTTAACTTTTTCTTGTCTGGGAAACTCTTTATATGGCCATCGATTCTAAATGACAGCTTTGCAGGAAAGCGTAATCTTGGTTGTAGGTTCTTGCTTTTCATCACTCTGAATATTTCTTGCCACTCCCTTCTGGCCTGCAAAGTTTCTTTTGAGAAATCAGCTGACAGCCTTATGGGAACTCCCTTTAGGTAACTAGCTGCCTCTCTCTTGCTGCTTTTAAGATTCTCTCTTTGTCTTGAACCTTTTGCATTTTGATGATGATGTGTCTTGGCGTGGGCCTCTTGGGGTTCATCTTGTTTGGGACTCTCTGTGCTTCCTGGACTTGTATGTCTGTTTCCTTCACCAAGTTAGGAAAGTTTTCTGCCATTATTGTTTCAAACAGGTTTTCGATTTCTTGTTCTCACTCTTCTCCTTCTGGCACCCCCAAGATGCGAATGTTGGCACGCTTGAAGTTGTCCCAGAGGCTCCTTACACTCTCCTCATTTTTTTGGATTCTTTTTTCTTTTTGCTGTTCTGATTGGGTGTTTTTTGCTTCCGTGTATTCCAAATCGATGGTTTGCTTCTTAGATTTACATACTCTACTATTGAAGCTGTGTAAATTATTCTTTATTTCAGTTAATGCCTCCTTCATTTCTGACTGTGCATCCATCATTTCTGACTGGTCCTTTTTTATGCTCTTGAGGCCCTCCCTAAGTTCACTGAGGTTCTCACTGAGTTCATTGAGTATCCTTATAATCAGTATTTTAAACTCAGCATCTGTTAGGTTGCTTATCTCCATTTCCCTTAGTTCTTTTCTTGGGGTTTTGTTCTGTTCTTTCATTTGGGACCTGTTTCTTTGTCTCCTCATTTTGGCTGCCTCCCTGTGTTTGTTTCTGTGTATTACTTAACAAGCAGTATGGGGCTAGCTGAGACCAGATGCTGCTTGTTTGAAAGAATTTAGGAAAAACCTGAAGCAGGATCCAAGACAGGCCAATCCTATAGTTAAGCAAGTGGCAACAGCTTGGGTGGGCCTGAAAGTTGGGTGGGGCGGGGCCTCAGGGAGTCACCAGGGCGGGGCTTCCAGTGTGAGCCAGGTTGCTGGAGTACCAGATATGGTGGCTGTCTGCCGCCCCAGGGAAGGGCTCACCAAAGGAACAAGGGCCTCTGACAGCACGTTTGTCCAGGAGAAAGCCCCCTCTCCAGCCCTCACTCCAGTGCCAAACAGCTCAGTTCTTCCCTGTATGTCTCTGGTGACCCTTGAGCTGCCTCCCCTCCAGGCTTAGAGGGAGAGAGTCCAATAAGTTCGATAAGTTCGTGCGTGGGCCCTTTAAGGAGCTGCCTGGGGCTCCAGCCATGTCAGCCTCCCTGAGCCTCAGTTCCTGCTGGTTTTTCCAGCCAAAAGTTATGGGGACTTCTCTTCCTGGCACTGGAACCCTGAGCAGGGCACCTGGTGTGGGACGGAGACCCCTCAGTCCTCAGGAAGGACCTTCCCAGCTGAGGCATCCTCCTTATTTTTATTCGCCACACGTGGGTGTGGGACCAGCCCATCTAGCCACTGATCCTCGAGACTCCGCCCCTCCTACCAGTCTCGATATGCTGTTGCTTTAATTTCGTAGTTGTAGGACTTCCATTCAGCTTGATTTCAGGTGGTTTTGAATGATGGTTGTTCTGTAGTTTAGTTGTAACTTTGATGTGGTTGTGGGAGGACGCGATACCACATTTACCTACACTGCCATCTTGACCGAAGTCCCACACAATGCTTTTAAATATCTATTATAATAGCAGCAACTACCATTTCTGACATATTAGGCACTGGGCACAGTGATAAGCGTTTGGTATACATTATGTCTATAATTTTATAAGGCTCAGTTACCTTCCTTTTTTTTTTAAATCCTCATCCGAGGACATTTTTCCATTTTTTGTACAGACAGAGTGGGAGGGAGAGAGAGGAAGAGAGAGAGAGGGAAACATCGATGTGAAAGGGACACATCGAGTGGCTGCCACCCGCACGACCAACCAGGGCCGGGGACAAACTGCAACCGAGGTACATGCCCTTAGCGGGAACCGAACCCGGGCCTCTCCGGACCGCAGGCCAACGCTCTAACAGCTGAGCCAAACCGGCCAGGGCTCCTTTTTTTTTTTAAATAATAAAGCTACCTTGGGTAGATTGCTTGATCTTGTGTAGTTGTGATTTAAAAAATAAAGAAGACTTTTGATTTTATTTTTTAATTTTTATTACACATTACATAATACACTGCATAACCTTCTAGCAGGGGTAGATGAACATGACTAAGTCATTTTTCATCAATCAGGAAAATGCTTCCTTAATCAATGTTCTCCAAACCCTGAAAAACAATTTAAAAAGGAAAATGTAAGAACTCTGCTCCTGTCAGAGATGTACATGTACTTATTTAGTGTCAAATGTCATTCTGTTAGTCAAGTACTTTCACATCCCACAACAATAAATTGGACTGAATTTTATAATCACTAAAGTAAGAAAGAATGACTTCTAGTATTCCTTTTCTGACAGCAGCAAACATAACACTTTATATGAAAAGACCACCCCCTCAATCAGAACTAAAGTCAAATAACTATTTACCATCTGATCCTTCTATAAAGCACCCTCAGAGAGTCAGAAAACAGTAAGGTAAAACATTTTTTTTTATTTATTTTTATCCTCACCTGAGGACATTTTTTGATATTTTGTTCAGATAGAGTGGGAGGGAGAGAGAGAGAGAGAAACATTGACGTGAAAGGGACACATCGAGTGGTTGCCACCCACACAACCCAACCAGGGCCGGGGACAAACTGCAACCGAGGTACATGCCCTTAGCGGGAACCCAACCCGGGTCTCTCGGGACTGCAGGCCGATGCTCTAACCGCTGAGCCAAACCAGCCAGGGCGGTAAAACATTTTTATAAAATAACAGCCAAGCCCTCACCGGTTTGGCTCAGCAGTTGGAACATCAGCCCTCGAACCGAAGTGTCTTGAGTTCAATTCCCAGTCAAGGGCATGTACTTGCCTTGCAGGTTTGATCCCCAGCCATGGTCGGGGTCGAGTGGGAGGCAACCAATTAATGTTTCTCTCTCTCTCTCTCCCTGTCTCAAAAATCAATTTTTAAAAAGTATAGTGATTCTCGCCCAGCTGGTATGGCTCAGTGGATTAAACATCCCATGGACTGAGAGGTCCCAGTTGGATCCCGGTCAGGGCACATGCCTGTGTTGTAGGCTTGATTCCCCACTAGGGGGTGTGCAGGAGTAGGAGGCAGCCCATCAATGTTTGTCTCTCACATCAATGTTTCTCTCTCTCTAAAAACAAAAATCAATAAAACCATACAAAAATTATAGTGCTTCTTTACATATGTATGATATTGGTGCAAGAATTGGCAAACCAATGCAGTATAGAAGAGCACAGTTGTGAAACAGGCCCATGTGTATACAGAAATTTAGTTTACTAGAGTGGTATTTCAAATAAAAAATGTACTGTTCTATAAATGGATAATTGTGACAATTGCTTATCTTTTGGGGAAAAAAAGGAGAGTTAAGCCCTGGTTTCGCATTATACCTAAAAATGACCTGTAGATGGGTCAAGGCACTAAATGTGAAGAAGAAGAAAAGAGAGAAAGAGAGAGAGAGAGAGAGAGAGAGAGAGAGAGAAGAAAAAATAAACTGTAACAGTATTTGGAGAAACTGTAAGAATATATTTTTATAATCTTGAATAGGAAGCTCATTTGTAAGCAAGATACAAAACCCAACATCCAGAATGATAAAATACAAACTGAACATCAAAGTTAAAAACGGCTATCATAAGGTAATAAAGACAAGTAGGAGTCTGGGGAAAATATTTGTACATATAAAAGAGACCAAGATTAATATCCATAATATATAAAAAGCCCTATAAACAAAGGAAAAGAAAGAGAACAGAATAAACAATCAACAAAATAAGAAATACAAACAATCATTAAATGTGTGAAAGGCTGCTCAACCTTACTGGTAAACAAGCAAATGCAAACTCAGTTCGCACTGTAAGACCTTTAGCAAAATATTACCAGAACTCACCTGCACCGACAGATGCCTAGGAGCATCAGAGCCATCTTACCTTTGACATATAGTAACGATTAACTCCAGAGACACGTTTATCTCTTTCCATCAAAGTCCACTGATAAGAATAATATGCAACCCTTTTTTCCTACAATTAAAATAAATCATTATTGCAGTTTTAAGATGAGTGACCCAATAGAGGAATATTAGTACTTTAGTAACATTCTAGAATAATGGAATCATCACTGAAATAAAAATCAAATTACAATATAAGACCAGGATCCTAAATAAAATCGGACCTCCAAACTTTAAAATTAAGATGGCAATTTATACTTTCTAGTTTAACCTGCACCACTTTTCTTTTTTTTCTCCTTTCTCGCAGCCCTCATGCCCTTTTAAAGACATGACTACTTATTTGTTTGGGGATCTAATGGAAAGAAAACAGCGGTTTTGTGAAGTACAATCACAAAACCAAAAAGCAAATACATTTATACTCTGTACTCTAGAGATGATGTAAAGGACAAGAAAGAGGGGGAAATTATAATACTGAAAAACAGGATCTTGCAGTACATTTCTAAAGGCTTACAAGAGAAAATGGGGGATAAAAAAATGTCCAGGTAAAAACTTAAGGTTGAGGAAGAAGAATCAGAAGCTACCAAAATGAGGGTTAAAATAAAAACCGAGCGTGAAAGATTAGAAGTCGGAAGGAGTGGGAGCAAGCCTAACTGACGCCTCCCTCCTCTGCCGAGGGAGTTGGACCTAACCTCTACCACTCTTACTTTCCCAGGCCCCGAGTCTCTACTGGGCCCTCCGGCCCACCCTTCTCCACCCGGCAACTAGACGGGTTTTGCTAGAGTAGAAAGCCATCCCCGTCGGGCTTAATTCCGCAAACCTCCGCTTTTAGGTAATACGAAGTGGGGGGCGACCCTGGTATTCCCCACCTCGCACTGTGGGTCCGGATGCTGATGGCTTCCCTAAGCTACCGCCCATTACGTAACGTCGCCCCGGGCCGAGGCCGCCTTACCTTGCCCCCGTTACTGAACCTGTGGAGGTGCGCGGTGGCAATCCCGGGGATGAGTAAGCACACGCCCATGACGGCGAGCCCGGGGAGAATCTCGAACCACATCGCGGCAAGGTTAGCAGGGCCCGAAAAATACCTTCCAGGTCCTTAAGAGCGACTGGCTTCGACCCCTTCCCACTAAGCCCCGCGGCTGGGCGGGGTCACGTGCACCTTCGGAGGAAACGACGGTGGCCGGCAGGGCTCCAGAGTGGCGCACTCTCGCAACCTAGTGCCCCAGCTTCCGCATCGCGTTTTGGCCGCGGTTCTCGCTGAAGCGGGCGGCGTGCGGTAGCGTGAAGCAGCCCCCGCGCGCCCCAGAACGCTGAAGCCATTTCGGAGCTCGGGACTGGAAATGGCAGAGCAACTTTCTCCAGGAAAGGCTACAGACCAGGTGTGCACCTTCCTGTTCAAAAAGCCTGGGCGCAAAGGGGCCGTAGGCCGCAGGAAGCGCCCGGTTTGCGAGCAAGAGCCCGAAGACAGCAGCAGCAGCAGCAGTGACGAAGGCAGCACTGTGGTTCGCCGCCAAAAGAAGCGGGCGACCCACAATCCGATGATACAGAAGACTCGCGGCAGTGGTAAACAGAAGGTGGTTTACTGTGACTTGAGTAGCGAGGATGAGGAAGAGGGGAACGGGAACGAACCTGAGACGCTCCGTGTGGTCTACAAGTCCACCCGCTCGGCGAAACCCGTGGGTCCAGAGGATATGGGGGCGACTGCTGTCTACGAGCTAGACACAGAAAAGGAGCGTGACGCACAAGCCATCTTTGAGCGCAGCCAGAAGATTCAGGAGGAGCTGAGAGGCAAGGAAGATGACAAGATCTATCGGGGGATCAATAACTATCAGAAATACATGAAGCCTAAGGATACGTCTATGGGCAATGCTTCCTCCGGAATGGTGCGGAAGGGCCCCATCCGAGCTCCCGAGCACTTACGTGCCACCGTGCGCTGGGATTACCAGCCCGACATTTGTAAGGACTACAAAGAGACTGGCTTTTGTGGCTTCGGAGACAGCTGCAAATTCCTCCATGACCGATCAGATTACAAGCATGGGTGGCAGATCGAACGTGAGCTTGATGAGGGTCGCTATGGTGTCTATGAGGACGAAAACTATGAAGTGGGAAGCGATAGTGAGGAAATGCCATTCAAGTGTTTCATCTGTCGTCAGACCTTCCAAAACCCAGTTGTCACCAAGTGCAGGCATTATTTCTGCGAGAGTTGTGCACTGCAGCATTTCCGCACCACCCCGCGCTGCTATGTCTGTGACCAGCAGACCAACGGTGTGTTCAATCCAGCAAAAGAATTGATTGCTAAACTGAATAAGCATCAGGCTGCAGAAGAGGATGGTACTTATGATTTTCCAGAAGACCCCGACGAGGGTCCAATTCCCATTACTTAGTTTTTCCATTATTCATCAATTTCAAAATAAATATTTTAGAGATCTTAATTTGTGTCCTTCCTTTCTAGGGAAAGTGACAAAGGAAAAGGCAGATGATGAAGTAGGTTCCTGGATAGATGGCTTGTGAAAGCAACAAGGTAGGTACAATCTGTATTTTTACTTGGTATAAATGCTGCCTGTGTGTAACTTTTCAGAACTCTTTGGCATAAATTACAAGGATGGGAGATGTTTGAGAAGAAAGCTAGAATTTGCTTGAAATAACCAAAGCTGTGATGAAAAGAAAAACTGAACCTAATACATCACATTTCTGGATCACTTAATGATTTACAAAAGTATTTTCATGCATTATCTTTGTTGGTCGCCTGTGCTACTTGATAATACACACCAGCCAAAGGGTGTGTTGGGGTGGCAGGTTAGCGGGAGAATTGGGTTGGGGGACTAGTAGTTAGCACCACAGAATGCATGTATGGGAATGGTCGTTGCTCTCTTTGGAGTAGCTACGGTAACCCCCCTTCCATGGATGACTGAAATGATCGATCTATGCCATACTGCCCAATATGATAGCTTCATGTGGTGGTTGAGTACTTGAAATGTGGCTGGTAGCCACTATATTGGATATTGCAGTCCTAGACTGAATTTGTGAACCTGCAGAGGGCAAAAACCTAATATTTTATAATGCATTGTCTGAAACTGTATCCTTACAGACCCTGTAATATGGTCATCCCCTATTAAAGTTAATCTAGTCCGGCCAGTGTGGCTCAGTGGTTGAGCATCGACCCATGCACCACGAGGTCTCTGGTTCAATTCCTGGTCAGGACACATGCCCAGTTTGTGGGCCCAATTCCCAGTGGGGGGCATGCAGGAAGCATCTAATCAGTGTTCTCTCTCTCCAATGTTTCTATCTCTCCCTCTCTCAAATCAATAAAGGGAAAAAAATTTTTTTAAGTCGATCTAGGTACCTGTCTTCCCAACTAATTTGTGAACTCCTGTAACTAGCCCAGTGTTCGGCATATAATTACCCCTTAATAAATAAACCCAGAGAGGTTTCAAAAGGGAGATTGGGGCCAAATTCTTAAATCCACATGGAGAAGCTTAACTATATTCTGTAGGTAATGGAGAGATAGCAGAGTTTTGGGGAAGGGAACACAATCAGACTTTCCTTTGTAGATTTTGTGGTTGTAGGCTATCAGATAGATTGCAGGAAGATGGATGACAAGAGGTAGGGAAGCCAGTTAGACCAAATTATTAGTAAATTTTATTGATCTGGCTAGAATTTGGACTGATCCAGGAAAGAAATGCAAGAATAAATTGTGGGTTAGGATTTTTTAGTTCACATAATGAATCTATTTAAAGATACTCTTTGAGCAGCTGTTCTGTGTCAGGAACTGTGCTTGGCATAAGGGATATTAGCAAACAGTGGACACAGCCCCTGTACTCATGGAGCTAGACATCAAATAGCGACAGGTGTGATCAGTACAAGATAGAAAAGTGCACTGGACTCGGCCCAGGGTCCAAAGAGTTGCGGGTTTGATTCCGGTCAAGGGCATGTACCTCAGTTGCTGTTGGTCCGGCCCTGGTCAGGGTTGTGCGGGAGGCAACCAGTCAATTTGTCTCTCTCACATTGATGTTTCTTTCTTTCTCCCTCCTACTCTATCTGAAGATAAATAGAAAAAAAAATCCTCTGGTGAGAATTATTTAAAAAAAAAAAATGCACTGGGTTGATCTCTCAGGATAAACCCAATCCCAGCTGTGGAGAGTTCAGAATCATTAACTCAAAATGTAAAACTATTTTTTTCTTTATTCTTATTTTTTGCATTCCCATAAAAATTTTAGATTCATTCGGGTCAACTACTGCAAACACATGCTGGAAGTTTTATTGGGATTATATTGAAATTATAAATTTGAAGTAAACAGATCTCTTATACACACATTACTGCATTCTATTAGTAAAATCATAATATTAACATTGGTACAGTACTATTAAGTAATTTATAGACCTTATTCAAATTTCATCAGTTATTCTACTAATGTTCTCTTTCTGGGCCACAATACCAACGAGGGTCACACATTGCAGTTAGTTGTAATATCTCCTTAGTCTCTCTTATTTTGGAAGAACTCAGTCTTTTCTTTGTCATTCATGTCTTTGAAACATCTGAAGACCAGTTATTTTGTAGCTACCTCCCAATTTTGGTTTGTCTGATGTTTCCTTATGATTAAATTCAGGTAATTCATTTTTAGAAGGAAAACCATAGGAGAGATGCTGTACTCAGTGTATTAATGTAAAACATTCTATAACACAGTGTGTAAAGTATAGGGGGATACCTGAGATACTTGAGAAGTCTACTGGGGAAAGAGCTTAAAGAAGCATCACACAGGAAACAGCATTTAAAGGATAAGACAGAGTCAGAGCTGCACAGGAAAAAAAACATTGTAGAGGCAGATGTAGAAAAAGGAGTATACACTGCCATGGAAGGCAAAGAAGAGAGTATTAAAAAGTATCATGGAGAGATGCGGGAGGTAGAAGAAGGTAAAGGGGGGATAAATGGTGATAGAAGGAGACTTGATGTGGGGTAGTAAATACACAATACAATATACAAATGATGTATTGTAGAATTGTATACCCAAAATCTATATAATTTTATTAACCAATGTCACCCCAATAAATTAAGTTTTTTAAAAAGTATCATGGAAAGAAATATGGCAATGAGTAGCAAAATAATCATTAAAATGGTTCATTTTTTTAAAATATTCCTGAAAACCTTGGCCAGTTTGGCTCAGCAGTTGGAGCATCGGCCAATGGGCCAGAGAGTCCCGGGTTCAGTTCCCGCTAAGGGCACGTACCTCAGTTGCAGTTTGTACCTGGCCCTGGTTGGGGTTGTATGGGTGGCAACCACTCGATGTGTCTCTCTCACATCGATGTTTCTCTCTCTCTCTTCCCCCTTCCCGCTCTGTCTGAAGATAAATGCAAAAAAAATATTCCTGAGAATTTTAAAAAGTTATTCAAAAGTAGAATAAAGCTTTATGGAAAAATATATACAGCAAATAGAAAACTACCTAAAGTAATAGTCATCAAATGGGAACATTGCTTATTTTTGATGGTGTGAGTCTAGGAGATTGGTTACTTTTCTCTTTGGATTTTTCTGTCTTGCTTGAATTTTTTTTAGATTTTTAGACTATGTTTTTTGTTTTTGCTTTTGATAGTCTTTTCATTGATTTTTGTAGAGAGAGAAAGGGAGAGATAGAAACATCTATGTGAGAGAGCTACATCACTCGGCTGCCTCCTACACACCCCTCACTGGGGATCGAGCCTGCAACCCAGACATGTGCCCGACCAGGAATCGAACCAGGACCTCTCAATCCATGGGACGATGCTCAATCCACTGAGCCACACCAGTCCGACTGATTTTTACACTATGTTTAAATAATAAAGTTATATTTCTGGGGGAAAAATAAAAAGATATACATTGAATTGTTATATGTTACATAAGCTGAGAGAAAAGATCCAGGAGAAAACAAGATGAAAGGGAAAGAGTACTGCTGATGACTAAGTTCTAGAAGGGAGCTGGAACTGAGAAGCGATGGGATTAAAAAGCATATATCCAGAAGTTAGTCTCTTTTTTTTCAAATTATAAGAGAAAGTTTATTTAGAAAGTTAAAAGGTAGTAAAAGTGAGCCAGCTAGGCTGTGTAAGCCCAGAAAACAAGTTACAAGAACAAAAGAGGGGTGCTTGGGGCTTAGGAGAGGGAAAGGCAAAGGTAACTGCCTAACGGGGAAAGACCCGGCTGTGCTCCCCAGAGGAAGAGTGCAAAGGAAATTAGTTTTAAAGAGCTGAGAGAAGAGGAAAAAAATAACATTTATCTACTACTATACATTTTTAATACTACTTGTCTGTGAATCTTAAGAGAATGTATAAAATATATGCAAATAAGCATGATTCTTAGGATCCACAACATTCAGCATATTCTTAAAGGGATCATAACTCCACAAAAGTGCATAAATCAATCATATACTCAAGGTATATTTCATGTTTATAAGTTTATTAAAAGAACCGCCCAGCTGGTGTGGCTCAATGGTTGAGCGTCGACCTATTGACCAAGAGGTCACAGGTTTGATTCCTGGTCAGGGCACATGCTGGAGTTGCAGGCTCAATCCCCAGTGGAAGGCATGCAGGAGGTGGCCAATTGATGTTTCTATCTCTCTCTCCCTCTCCCTTCCTCGCTCTTTAAAAAAATCAATAAAACATAATTTTTAAAAAGTCAGAACCATTTTTTATCACCTTTAATCAAATGGTGCCACTTCTTCATAGGTAGAAATGAAAGTTGTTCTTACAAATTTTAAAAAAAATTAATTTGGGGGGGAAAAAAGCATGCCAGCATAGAAGAGCTTGTAGCTGGACTCTGAAGAAGCTAACCTAGTCTGAGGTCAGAGGAGTCTCCCCTAGGAAATGACCCTGGTGTGAAAGAGAATATCCCAGGCAGAGTAAAGTATATACCAAGGACCTAAAGTCAAGAGACTGGTTTCAGCCCAGAACTCAAAGCAGTCCAGCATGGCTGGAGGAAAAAGACAAGGTAGCTAGGTAGTCAGGACCAAAAAACAGACATTTTGAAAATCATGTTAAGGACTGTAGACTTCATCTGAAGGGCAAAAGGATGCCTTCAAAGAGTTTTAAGAAAAAAAATAAAATGATCAGATTTGAATTTTATAAAGGTAATTCTGCATTGTGGGAAATGGATTGAAGGAACCAGACATGAGACGGAAATCAGTTAGGCTGGTGCACTAGTCCAGGTGACATGTTGGTAAACAAGACTGGAAGCTGTTAATAATTCATTTAATAAGTAGTTTTGAGCATCCACTATACGGTCAGGTATTGATTGATTTAAGCACCAGAGATAGAGTCATAACAAAAGCACTCAAGTTCCTCCTCTCATAGAATTTAACAGATTTATACATACAGATACATAATATCAAATTTAGATAAATACTATGAAGAATAATAAAGCAATGTAAGGGGGTAAGAGTGCAGTGATGTGGGGAATGTTATTTCATATAGGGTGGTGAGGGAGGGCCTCTTCACCACCCTATACAAAGTGAAAATTGAGCAAAGACACAAACAAAGCAGGTATCTGGCAGAAGAGTA